TGATGAAACCTGACTTCCCTCACTGGCAGGATGCTGGCTTGTGGAGAACAGATGAAGGGGAAAAGGCAAAGGGACCTACTCAAACAAAATAGCAGCATGGGAGCAGACTGTGTCTTGAACCACAGCAATTGCTGCCGAAGAAGTGGTTGGATTTTGGATGTGTCTTAACTTGGGGATGGAAGTAAAAAAAGGAGTTGAGAATGACCCCACTATATTGGTCTGAATAATGGGAAAAAATAAAGTTGTCCTTTACTGAGATGTGCATGACTAAATGTAGCTGAAGCTCAATTGTGGACAACTCAGTAGTGTGAAGCCCACTCCCTGGTCATCCAGATTTATGTGGTGAGTGGGCAGTTGGTGTCCAACTCTGGAGGAGAGGGGAAGTCTGGTCTAGACATGTAGGCTTGGAACCTATAAGCATAAAGAAGATGCTTAAAACTACATGACCAGATTATATACAAAGGCAAGAAGAAAGAGAGGTCATCCAGGGACTGATCTTTGGGACATTCCAATGTTAGGGTCCAGGCAACAAGGAACCAGAGGGATCTGAGAAGAAGTGAAATGGGTGGAAAATCAGAAAGCATGATACATGGAAGGTATCATGTACCACTTCCTTTATCCAGATGTGCTCCAGATGCCATCTCCAATGCAGTTATTTTTTCCTTTTAACCATTCATTACTCTCCTATCCTTCCAATTCTAACTCCATCCCTCATATAATTACCTTGCATTGGGTTTTAGTAATCGAATCAGTTTGTGGTGCAAAAGGTGAGATATCACCAAGGATTGGTCCTAGCCCTCCCCTCACTCATACCTGGGACTGTATTGTGAGGGAGGGGTCCCTATGACCAGCTGAGGGAGGAGGAAAGGCCAAGGAAAGGCTATCAGTTCATGGATGGATCAGCATGGAATAAGATGCAAGCTGACATGGGACTGCAACTGTGGTCCAGCCGTGAAAGACAGGTGAGGGAAACTCTGTGGGGCATGAATTGGGTGGTACATTTAATCATGTACAAAAAATAGTTCATGGATTCACAAGCAGGGATGGATGGCTTGGCTGATTGGTCAGAGGCTCCCAAAGCTGGGATCATCAGGGACAAACAGGTGTAGGGCTGATACAGATGGACAGGGACTAGGTGTGAGGATCTTTGTTCCTTATAACAATGTTGCCAGCCAGCCACTGCCATCTAAGAACTGGCTACTACCCCGGAGGATGGAGCAACTGTATCTAAGATGAGAGGTGATGTACAGACTCCCACTCACCAAGGCTTCTGCTGCTTGTCCCAAGGGTAGACAAGCCCTGAACCCTGACTTTGTTCTACTCCTCCATGCAATCAGCTGGAGCAGATGAGTGACACTGTACCTGTGTTATAATTCAAAGCCCCTTGCCTGGTGCTGTACCCTCACTCCTTCACAGCTGTCCTTCCTGACAGCGGTCACTAATGAACTTCCCGCATGCAAATACCTGCTTTTTATCCTAGGAACCTGACCTGAGACAGGATAGGAAGGGGAAAAATAAGCAAGAAGAAAGACAAACATCCTGTATGATGTCACTGATGGATAAACAAAATGTCAACCACTATTCTCTGCCTCTCTGCCTATTTGTCTCTGGATCTGTTTTTACACCTGTGCCCACATTTTAATTTTATTACACATTTTCCAAAACCTCCAGTAGGTGGAGAACTTGCATCAAGTTTGCCACTGACACCCCTCCTGACAGAACTGCATTTATTTTTTTATTTAACCATTACTGAAATGAAATGATGGTTTCTAACCGACAATGAAATGCATTTATGGCTCTTCTTAGTGGCCTAAGCTTTTCACACATTATAGACCTAAAAACATTATATAGAATTACATTTCTCTTGTGATTGACTGTTACTATAGAATGCTCTAAGGAGAAAGAGATGAACTGTGTGAAGACAAGGCTAAAATTCAACATTATCTTTTTCTTTTTTTTTTTTTTTTGTGATTGTTGTGGAATATTGCTCCTTGATTAGTTTATTGTGCTTTATTTTAAGCTCTTACATCTGCAAGATGGTGTTTTTTCAAAAAAATTCTGCAAGTGAGTATTGATTGCAAGATAACTGCAGATTAAGGAAACAATTTTGTTCATTAAAAAGTCTTATCCATTGCTGTGTTTCTTTACATTTCAATTTTAAAACAGTAGGCAAAGGATTTCTTTTTCTATGTATGGTTATTCTTGCTGATTATTGAGAAGGTTTTATTGAGGTCACAGAATTTAGGTTAATAGAATTTAGTATACTAGAGCATTCCCAGTTACAGCTCCCAGCAGTAGGAATGTGGCCCCAATTTAGCAGCCAGTCAGTCGTGCGGCGGGGACATTGCACTTAGAATCCTTGCTGACCCTGGGGAAGCCTCTCTGTTGGGCTTATTTCAAGACACAGGTTTGGAAAGTGATGGACAGCTGTGCCCAGCTGTATGCACAACCCCAGCAGGACCTCCCAAAGAGAGTCTAGATATGGTCTCTAGATAGGGTCTTTAGATCTTTGGATTTGGGGCCAAATCCAGCTCACTGCCTGTGCTAAGGCTCTCAAGCTAAGAATGTGTGTGTGTGTGTGTGTGTGTGTGTGTGTTTGCTAAGAACGGTTTTTACAAATGAGCATCGCTAGTTGATTGAATGATAGAAAATATTAATTTGAATCACAATTAAGCAAGTCCTCTCCTCTCCTCCCAATTCCATCATTCTCATTAGTAGATCTCTATTTATCTTCCCTTCCCAAATCATACTCAATTATTACTTTATTTTGGATTTTGTCAGCTAAATCTGTGGGACTTTGTTTTCCCTCTTGTTATTTAGGTTACCTACTTTTGCCTCTTGACCTGTAAAACCTAACATATTTGCTATCTGGCCTTTATAGAAAATGTGTTGACTCTGCTTTTATATACTTCCTAAAACTTGAGGGAAGCTAGTGTGTTAAGCATGTGAAATTTTTCTGAAGAGAAGGTGTATGGCTTTCTGTGTAGGGTAGCTAGACAACCTTGAATTTGCCCAATCTATCTGAAAGGTGACTGTGACCACAGACAGGTTAAGATTCACCAGTCTACTGGGATGAGGGCCTATCTATTGCAATAACAACAACAACAACAACAACAACAACTCGTGGGTCAATATACCAAGAATGATCAAAAGATTGTCCATAATGAATTTAAGGGGCTCAAAGACAGCTTGAAATGAATCACTAAACAATTGAAGACAATTTTTTTTGTCATAACCATAAGGCATATTGTGTTGCAGTAATGTAGGTACTTAGTAATGTAGGTACCTTTTCTTGACATACTTAAGAAAAGCATAGTCCTTGACCCTGAGTAGGCATCTAGTGTGTGTTCATGACAGTGAATTGACTGGACATCTCAAATGGGTTAAATCAAATGCATATCCTTAGAGTAAATGAAATGATTATTCTTATGAATTTGCAGCTAACCTAACTATGATGGGACAAAGGAGAGAAACTATAAATGAGGTACTTCCTGTGTTCTCTAGGGCCCATGCTATTTCAGTAAAGCCTGCAAAACTGAGGCCTTAATGACTCTGAAGAGCAAAGAGGAGCCGGGGCTGTGGTGCATGCCTGTAATCTCAGTGACTTGAGAGGCTGAAGCAGGTGGACCACAAGTTCATACCAGCCTTAGCAACTTAGGAAGGCTCTAAGCAATTTAGCAAGACCCCGTCTCAAAAAAAAAAAAAAAAATAGTAATAATAAAAGAAAGGACTGGAACTGTGGCTCAGTGGTTAAGTGCACTTTTGTTCAATTCCAGTAACAAAATAAATAATACAAAGGCAGAGAGGAGCAGAGAACCTTCTAGAAACCAATAGCAATCCCTTAAAAGGCATGGTTAATATTTTAGTACTATTCAGTGAGAATTTCTGGGAAGCTGCTTCTATTCAGGTGGTTTCAGCCCATACCTATGTGAATATTCAAATGGGCTAAATGTGGCTTGCCCACACCAAACACACCTTTCATTGCTGGAGCTAGCTCAGATACATCCTTCCTGCAAAGATGAGTGGAAGGAAACAACTCGTCCCCACCCTCCATGGAAAAGAACTAGGTCAAAAGGCAAACGGGACTGTCACTGGAATCAAAGCCAGCAACCTGGGAAGTGCTGACTCACATGACTGTCCTTTCTCCCCCCCCCCCCCCCCCCCCGCGAAAGGATACTTGCTCTATTTTATAAAAAGGTGGAGGATTCGCACACTTTCTTCTTTGATTGAGCTGTTTATGTTGGTGTAAGTTCTGGCAAATGTGTCCTGGGGCTTAGCTGAGTGGTTTGGATACAACATCGCCTACTGTTCCAATTTAAGAAACTCTCACGAGATTGCACGGAGACAAAGAATCTGCAGAAAGGCACAGTCCTGTAGCGCTCCAATGCTCTAATCTGAGTTCTGCTCTGCGAAGTCCTTTCTAATCCTCTTGTACCCTGCTGTGGCTAGCAGTCAAGGGAAGGGCAGTAAGAGCAAAAGCTGCAGGAAACAGATTTAATTCAATCTAGCAAACATTTACTAAGCACCTCTGGTGTGCCAGACACTGAGCCAGGTTCTGGGGATACAAAGATGAATAGGCTATGGTCCCAGAATTCAAACAGGTCACCGTTTACAGGCAGACAGGCACAACCACATGAATAATAAAACAACAGAGCGGGAGGGAAGGGGATTCATCACTGAAGGGATGACATGGATGTGTCTTAAATGACACGGAGAGAGTAACAGAGAAGGGAGAGTGGACATTCCAGGCGGAAGCAACATTAACAAATTGAAGAAGGTATCTAAGTCTAGGGAAATTGAGGAGAGAATCAAAAGGATCTTGTCTTTGGGAGGAGTGGAAGAAACATCTAGAAATATGAACTAAGGCACAACTATTGATCATCCAACAAATATTTACCACTGGAAATAGAAAAACAAATGAGAACAAGCAAATCTCTCCCTGTGTGATGCTCACCTTCAGGTTCAGCAGGTGGAGTGGGGTGAAGACAAATAACACCAGCAAATGATATATATTGTATTTTGCCAAGCCTGACATAACAGTTAAGTTCCACTAGGAGGTTTGGAGGACAGCATCTTATTGTCTCATAGTTCTGGAGACTAGAAGTCCAAAGTCATGGTGTCTCCTTCTACGAGAGAGAATTTGTTCCATGCTCTCGTCCAGCTCTTGTCCACACTCTGGAGGTGTGCTGGCAATCTTTGGAGTTCCTTGGCTGGTAGAATATCACCTTCACCTTTGGCTCATCTTCCCATGGTACTGACCCTGTGTATATGTCTCTGTATCCAAACTTCCCCCTTTAAAAAAAATAAGATTACTGGTCATATTTGATTAGGACTAGGACCTGCTTCTAATGAACTCATCTTAAAAGTTGATCATCTGCAAAGACCCTCTTTCCAAATAAAGTCACATTCTCAGGTATTAGGGGTTAGCACTTCAACATCCTTTTTTTTTTAAAAAAAAAATTGGTTTTACTTTTTAAATATATGACAGCGGAATGCATCATAATTCTTATTACACATACAGAACAATTTTTCATATTTCTGTATTATAAAGTTTCTGTGTTATAAAGACGCCAATTCATGTCTTTATACATGTACTTTGGATAATGATGTCCATCAGATTCCTCAATCATTGCTAACCCCCTGCCCACCCCTCTGCCCTATCTAGAGTTCATCTATTCCTCCCATGTTCCCTCTCCCTACCCAACTATGAGTCAGTCACCTTATATCAGAAAAAAACATTTGCCATTTGTTTTTTTGGGATTGGCTAACTTCGCTTAGCATTATCTTCTCCAACTGCATCCATTTACCTGCCATGATTTTATTCTTTCATTGCTGAGTAAAATATTCCACTGTGTATATATCTACTGAAGGGCATTTAGGTTGGTTCCACAGTTTAGCTATTGTAAATTGTGCTGCTATAAACTTTGATGTGGCTGTGTCCCTGTAGTATGTTTTTTTAAGTCTTTAGGTATAGACCGAGGAGAGGGATAGCTGGGCCAAATGGTGGTTCCATTCCCAGTTTCCCAAGAAATCTCTATACTGCTTTCCATATTGGCTGCATCAATTTGCAGTCCCACCAGCAGTGTATGAGTGTGCCTTTTTCCTCATAACCTAGCCACACTTACTGTTGTTTGTCTTCATAATAGCTGCCATTCTGACTGGAGTGAGATGGTAGTTTTGATAGGCATTTCTTTAATTGCTAGAGGTGATGAACATTTTTTTTTCATATATTTATTGAAGCACTTCAACATCCTTTGAAGGGACATAATTCTACCCATAGCTGCATGTTAGAGTGTAATAAATGATGTTTTGGAGAAAAAGCAGCATAACTGTGATGAGGAGGACATCTGTGTGTGAGGCAGGGGAAGAGGGAGGTTTGCAGTTTTTAATAATTGGTCTTTGGTCTGACTCACTGCAAAGAATACATTTGAACAAAATCCGGAAAGAGGTGAGCAGTGAGGCTCAGATATCTGGGGAAGACTCTTCTGGGTAGAGAGACAAGACAGTGCAAAGGTTGAGAGTTAGAACATCCCAGGGTGGGTGGGGGGAGGTGGATGTGGGGACAAAGGAGGAAGCCAAGGAGCTGGAGCAGAGTGAGAAAAGGCAGTTTGTCACTCTTCTGCTTCAAACTGTTTGATGTCTCCAGGGTCCAAACCCTCCTGATAGTAGTGAGATACTACATGTCCCAGCAGCCCGTGGACACTGACCACACCTCCTTTTGCTGCACCACATATAAATAAAAGAAAGGTCCACTGACAACTAAAAAGCAAAAAAAAAAAATGGGTTGGGTAGGGTGCGATGGTGTACTCCTGGAATCTCAGAGGTTTAGGAGGCTGAGGAGGGAGGATCACTATTCAAAGCCAGTCTCAGCATCTTAGCAAGACCTTTTCTTAAAAAACAAAAACAAAACTTGGGAATATGGCTCAGTAGTTTAGTGCCCCTCTGTTCTATCTCTAGTACCCCAAACCCCCAAACAAACAAACAAACAAACAAATAACAACAAACCCCCCCAGACTAGAATGGTCTGGGGTGGAGACCAAGGTGGATATGAGGAGACCAGTTAGGAGCTTACTGTACGAGTTCGGTGAGAGGCAGGGGTTGTTGGATTGGAGTGCTGAGTGGAAGTGGTCAGAAATTTGGATGTATGGAGTTTGAAGTTAAGCTCTAGAGTTAGATAGACCTGAGTTCACCCTTACCTAGGCCATTCTGTCATTTTCCCAGAGATAAACTTCTCTTTGAGGAGGTTATGACTTGTACATGCAAAAGGACACTCCAAGAATGTCTTTCAGGTGGACATTGTCTGTAATCCTCAATGGCCCCATTTCTTTTCTACTCTTGGTCTGATGACACAGACTTTCAATGATAGGGAATCATGTATTGGGTACTATTATCTCTTTGTAAAAATAGAAAAAAGATACATAGGTGGGCAACTCAATGTGATCCAGAAATTCCAGTTTTGCATATTTTGTGCCTGGTAACGATGAGGACAATCCAGAGCAGTGACCTTCTCCAGGAAGTGGCCGACTTTGCAATCAATGTGCCATGGGGCCTTCTCCACTAGGTATTACGATAACGACAGGCCAGAGTTGCTATGGAGTCCACAGAATCTCATTGCAAGCCACTTCCCTCATGTGACTGTGTGCCAAGCACTCAAGCCTTTTATATCCTTCTGTCAATGTCCAAGTTGACGCCTGAATTCTCTTCAGTATTAGAATAGTTTCCTCACTGTTCTTCCTACTTCAAATCGCTCTTTACTTCCTTCTATTCTTAAAGTTACTTCCAGAATGTTCTCCTGAAAATAAGAAACTTAGGAAACTCCTAGTCCCTCTTCAAATCCTTCCACAACTCCTTCTGTGTTTTCTTTCTTTCTTTCTTTCTTTTCTTTTCTTTTTTTTTTTCTTTTTTTTTTGGTACCAGGGATTGAACCCAGAAGGGCTCAGCCACTAAGCCATATTCCCAGTCCCCTTCATTGTCTATTTTGAGACAGGTCTTGCTAAGTTACTTAGGGCCCCACAAAGTCGCCACAAACCTAAGCTGGCCTTGAACCTGTGATCCTCCTGTCTCAGCCTCCTGGGTCACTGGAATTATAGGCATGTGTTACCACACCTAGCTCCCATCTGGTTTTATAGCAGCCAATGTTCTCTGTCCAGGCCACAAAGCTGTTTCTGCCCCAGCCCATACCTACAATCCCAGCCCGGCTTCCATTCTCTGAACCTCAGACTCCGTACCTTGTCCTCACTGGACTAGTGCCTTTCCCAAAACTTGTCCCTTTCTATGCCAAGGAAACTTTGAGGAGAGCTATCATAATGTAATAACTTGCATCTCTATGTTTTTTACTCTGTGGAATAGTGGAAAAATAACTCTTTCTGAGTCAGTAAGACTTGGATTAGAACCATGGCATTAACAATAGCCATCTGTGTGATTCTGACCAGCAACTTGACTTTATTTTCTCATCCATATAATGGGAATAAGAATGCTTACCTTGCAGGAGTGTAATAAAGGTAGAGATCATGTTGTGAAAATGACTGTGGGTCATCAAATCTGTAAAAGACACTCGGTGAGTGGTAACTTATTGAATATCAATTTGGAGCTCAGGAGAGAAACTGTCTGGAATTAGACTTTGAGAGAGTCATGAATGTCTGTGGGAGCTTGGGCAATTTACAGTTTCCTGGGCCGAGAAGTAGAAAAGGAGAAAATGACCCAGGACAGAACGTGCACAATTAATTGACATCAGTTTTTAAATCTAACACATACTCACACTTCACCAAGTTAAATCCAGCTAATTGAGATTTTAAGACACTGCAGGCAAAACTGGGTTGCAACTTACTTTTGTGCTATTTATGATAAAATTAATAGGGAGAACATGATTCAGAGCTCCTGATGTGGGGATGTTTAACCTACTTAAGCAAGCACATTTTTAAAGTTAAGTTAGAATCCATTTAGCGAGATCAGTTTATGTAGAGACCATGTGCTACTTGAAGTGATTTAGAGATGTAAAATTAGAATTATGAAGTGAGAAAAGATATGGAGATCATTAGCATATCCTCTTCATTTAAAGATGAGAAAAAGAGAGAAAATAAAAAAGGTCAACTGATTTATACAAGCAGACACAGAATACACAACACATTCCAGATGAGAATCCAGGCCACCTGATCCAAAATGAAGTTCTTTTTGGATAAGCTAGACATTGAGTTTTGCCACTCAGGTCACCAGCAGTTTTTTTTTCCTAGGCCACCCCAGGTGACCATTAGTGTTTTTTCACATTCTTGGTAGCAATTAAAGGAGTGCTACTTACAAATTACCGTATAATTCAGATTTACTATTAATCCATGCTGGTGTTCTCAGTGTGGTCCTGGAATGGACTACAAGGATTTGGCCAGTTTTCTGGGCAGAGTTGTAAAGAGAGACCCGCACAATGAAAAAAATCCATTGGCAGCATCGCCCTAGACAAATGTTCTTTTTTTTTTTTTTAAAAAAAAAGTGGCCTTTAAACACTCAATTTAACTCACTGGTTCTTAATTAGGATCATTGTGAGTTTAAGATTTGTTGTTCAGAGTAGAGGTTTTGAACCCTGAAGGCTGGCTTGCTTAGGAACTTCGTCCCAGCTAAGATCAAACGGATTTATGAACACTGAATCCCCTTCCTCTGCCATCGGATGGCAGACAGCTCTGGGGAGTCTACTTTTCAGGGTCATGTCTTTTCTTTCTTTTTTCTTTTTCCATGTATATATATATATATATTTTTATTGGTGCATCACAGTCATACACAATGGTGAGATTTGTTGTTACACATTTGTACGTGCACATAAGGTAATTTGCCCATACCATTCCCCAGTATTTCCCCTTTCCCTCCCCTCTTCCGTCCCCCTGGTTCCTTTCCTCTACTCAACTGATCTCAGATTTTAATGAGATTCGTACCCTCACCTCTCTTTTGCTTTTTCCTCTTCCATATGTGAGAAAACCTACGAGGGTCACACCTTTTTAGGCTTCCACATTGGCTGAAATATGAGCATGTAATATACATCTCACTGGATGTTTTCTCAGAAAAAAAGTGGCTGAGGCAGATGATTTTAAAGGATTAATGGTTTATGCAGATTATTATTATTTTTTTTTTGGTCAAGAATATATAGCTCCCAGTTTCTATTATCTGACTTAGGATAAATCTAAAAAGAAAATCTAGTGTGATTCATTTTCAAAAATGTGTGTGTGTTTGATATAGAAATCTGCTCCCTAAGCACTGTGGCTCCATGCTGCCAAGACAAAATAAATCAATGTGTTAATTACTTGAAAAAAACAACAGTAGAAAACCAGCTGTAATTAATGGAAAGAAAACAAATGGAAGCCCAAAGTAGTATTCCACTATGGAAGATTCCACACAAGGAAGTTTCCACCCAAGACTAGAATTATGAAATTGGTAAAAATAGATATTTCTCAACTCTGTGAACCACACAACCAGAACTAAACACCACCGGCCAGGAGTCCTATCTAGGGGTGAAGTGGACAAGCTGTGACTCACCTTTTATCATCCAAGGTACACATAACTTTGTCTTTTCTTCTTCTCTTTCTCCTTTGTCTTCTTTTTTGGATTTAACAACTTTGATTGGAAGAAGGATGTAGTTAAGACAAATACATATTTTTGGTTAGAACGATAAAGTGTGTGAAGTATGCTGGCATGAAGCCAACTGCAATCAGTGTTTTTATGAATGGACTAAAACTTCACTATGTGAGTCTGGGCAGTTCTGGGATGTTCCAAATGCCCAATGCCTGGCCTCTTCTGTTGCAGAATATTTGAACTTGCTATTTCAACCTTGACCTTTCTTTGTCTGTGTTGCAGAACACAGTTCAAAGGACACTTCCTGGTGACCCTCCACATGGATCAAGTCCCCTGGTGTTTGCTATCATTGCCTGTTGGGCTTTTCCTTCATAGCCTTTCTCAGACCTCCTGGCTGTGGATTTGTGTAATGTGAGATGATCTGATTACTGTTTGCCTCACTTTCTAGATGACTTGAAGATGGTGTCCATGTTGTTTTGCTCACTCATCTGTGTCTGGAACCTACTTTGGAATGAACCCATAACAAATAACAAATAAAATAAAATAACAAATGTCCTTAATGGTGCACATTAATGCCTACCTTTTATGGAATGTCTACATGTTAGGTATTATAATAAATGGTTTCTGTATTTTAATTAACACACAGCATCCCTCTGTAAGTTTTAATCTCAAACATGGAACACTATATTCATTTGTCAGCCATTTGATGTAAGGGCAAGAACTTAATCATTGATTAAAACTCCCTGTCTTTTTAAAATACATATATACATTACACCTATAATGCCTATAATTTATGATTTCCAAATTGTCTAGGACATAAGAATATCTGTAAAGCAATTAATGCTTTTAGATTTTTACATCTTCTCCCATAACAATTTCTCCAGTTATATCATTAAATAATTTGACAGTATTTTAAAATGACTTGTTTTGGCATTTTGCCTTTGTATTTTCCTGGGATAGAAAATTCTTAATTGTTTTGTAATTAAAATAAGTACAACTTGCATATTTAAGAACAAACAGGACTGTGTCCTTATGGGTGTGCTACTTGTTATCTTCTTCTTTTTTTGGTACTGGGAATTGAACAGAGGGTGCTTAACCACTGAGATACATCCCTAGTTCTTTTAATTTTTATTTTGAGATAGGGCCTTACTAAATTTCTTGGGGCCTCACTAAGTTGCTGAGGCTGGTCTTGAACTTATTATTTTCCCTCCTCAGCCTCCTGAGTTGCTGGTATTTATTACAGGAGTGTGCCACCATACCCGGTCACTTGTTATATTCTTTTTTAAAAAAAATTTATATATGACAGCTAAATGCATTGCAATTCTTATTACACATATGCAGCACAATTTTTCATATCTCTGGTTGTATACAAAGTATATTCACACCAATTTGTGTCTTCATACATGTACTTTGGGTAATAATGACCACCCCATTTCATCATCATTTCTAACCCCATGCCCCTTCCCTTCCCCTCCAACCCCTCTGCCCTATCTAGAGTTCATCTATTCCTCCCATGCTCCCCCTCTCTATCCCACTATGAATCAACCTCCTTATTATCAGAGAAAACATTCAGCATTTGATTTTTTGGAATTGGCTAACTTCACTTAGCATTATCTATCTAACTCCATCTATTTACCTGCAAATGCCATGATTTTATTTTCTTTTATGGCTGAAGAATATTCCATTGTGTATATATGCCACATTTTCTTTATCCATTCATCTACTGAAAGGCATCTAGGTTGGCTCCACAGTTTAGCTATTGTGAATTGTGCTGCTATAAACATTGATGTGGCAGTGTCCCTATAGTATGCTGTTTTTAAGTCCTTTGGGTATAATCCAAGGAGAGGGATAGCTGGGTCAAATGGTGGTTCCATTCCCAATTTTCCAAGAAATCACTTTTTATCTTCGTAAGTGGGCTGCACGCCTGTGCTCAGTATTGGTGATCATCAGCCAGTATGCTGAAGGGAGCATGAAGGGTGCTGATTAATCTTGGGAGTTGTTAAGTGCAGGTTGGTCAAGAAAGCTACTGCTGCATCCTTATACACATTTTGCAAAAGAGAAGATTGAGTCTCCAAGAGGAAAAGCAGTTTTCCTGATGTCACAAAGCTCATGAATGGTGGAGAATTTTGGATGAATAATCACATCTGTCTGATTCCCAAGCCAATGTTCTTTCTTTAGAATATATATGATTTTCTCTCACTTCTGGGTGGTAACTCCTTCTGGTAGAAACCATCTTTGATTTTTCACACGCTGTGACAAATAAAATAGCTATTATTAATTAATAGTTAATAAGTTATTTAGGATTTTCTTGCTGAAGGAGGGCCATTCTTTGACATTTACCATGAGAGTGGGTCATTTTATGCTGCAAAGATGGGCATTCCGCCTTTTTATAAGGTTGTGATTTCTTATATGGTGTGTGTGTGTGTGTGTGTGTGTGTATGTGTGTGTGGGGGGGAAGAAAGAGAGAGAGAATTAACAGCAATGTCTAAAGAATATCGAGTAGTCAAAATATACTTATTTATTAAACAAATCAGTTAATTACAATAAAAATGAAAAAATCAGTATCCTGAGCAGGACTTTTATACCCCCCATTCTTGTGGTTTTGCTGATGGTATCTGTTGGTTTCCCATCAGTGTCTCTGTTGATCCTTATTTTTCTACAAATTTATTTAGGAGGCTTCCCACATATATAAATATATACATACAAATATATGTAACAAATATTATATTTAAGTTTGTAAATGTATATTTTATGTGTGTGTGTGAGCCTCAACCCCAGCCCTTCTTATCATTTATTTTGAGAATGGATCTTGCTAAGTTGCCTAGGTTGGCTTTGAACTTGTGATCCTCCTGCCTCTACCTCCAAAGTTGCTGGGATTACAAGCATGCACCACCATGCCCGGCTCACATTTCTTATTTTTTCAAAGTGATTTAACATGTTCTAAATTTATACATTTTGAAATGGAGTAAATAAAGTGAGATTTATTGCATGATGTGCAAGACAAGCAGGATGTTCACTGTGCTAAAAGGAATCGTGGAATCCTGATTTAGGATGGTTGACTGGTCGTGCTCCTTGGCACCCTCCTCTTTTAAAATTCCTATTGATCATTACAAAAGTCTAAAAGGGGTATGAATCAAAAAATCAAAAAGAGCAAGAGTCAATCATCAGCAAAGGAGAGACTGTTAAACAACTTTCTAGAAGATGGAAAACAGATGAAGGATTAGAGTCAAAAGCAAAACGTATCCTTGAATATGTGGAGTTCTAGGAGAGTCTGGGACTCAGAGATGCTGATTTTAGTTAAAGGCAAGAATGATTCTTTGGGCTCAGACCTTTGTGGCTTGAAAATCTTTTTTTTTTTTTTGGCAGGCCAGGTGAACTGGGGATTAAACTCAGGGGCACTGGACCACGGAGCCACATCCCCAGCCCTATTTTACATTTTATTTAAAGACAGGGTCTCACTGAGTTTCTTAGCACCTCACTAACTTGCTGAGGCTGGCTTTGAACTCGAGCTCCTCCTGCCTCTGCCTCCTGATCCTCTGGGATTGACAATCTTTGTATGAAGAGTGTACCCGCACTCCCACTTATATTGAAAATAACTGCTGATCAGGAATTTACCTCCAAGCAAACACATGTTATTATCAAACAACAACAACAACAAAAAAAAAAACAAACAAAAACCCTGAAAGATTGGGGAGAACTGGGGCAATATGGATTGCTCCAAAATAATTCTGGCATTTGGTGACCCTCTAGGTCAAGGCCATCTCTATCATTCATTCACCCCTGAACAAAGTATTCCAGTCAACATGCTCTACTCAAGGACTCCCAAGTAGTTCTCTCCTTATTATTTCTTAAATATGATAGATCATCAAAGGTACCTTTTGGGTCAGGAATGTCACCGAAAGCTGATGTGATGAGAGCTTGGTCCCCAATGCAGCTATGTCCAGAGGTGGGGCTTTGGGCTAGTGATTGGATCATGAGACTCTCATCTTATCACTGGATTAATCCATCATCTGATGGATTAATAATTTGAATGACTACTGGGAGGAGGTGGGAAAAATGGGCAGGTGGGTGTGATTAAGGGAAGTAGTTCATGAGGGGTATGCCCTTGGGAACTACATCTTGTCCCTTGACCTCTCTCCCTCCCTCTCTGTTTCCCAGCTGCCACAAACTGAGCATCTTTCCTCCACCTCACCCTCCACCATGATGTTCTGCCTCACCTTCTGCCCAAAGCAATGGGGCCAGCTGACCATGGATTGAAATCTCTGAAACCAAAATAAATCTTTCCTCTTCTATGTTGTTCTTGTTAGTTATCTGGGTCACAGCAGTGAAGAGCTGACTAACAGCATCTGAAAAAAATCTGCAACATGAAAGAAAAGATTAAGAAGTACAATCCAGAAAAACTGACCCCCAAAGAAGAATGTAATTCTCTATTGTTATTATTATTATTACTACTATCATATGTGGTGCCAAGGATTGAACCAAGGGTCTCACACAGGCTAGGCGAGCATTCCACCACTGAGCTATCCCCCCAACCCTGAAATCATATAGTTCAAGGAAAAAAAGAGACAAGAAAAATTTTAGTTTCTTCAGAAAGATTCAATAAATTTTTTTTTCATTCATAAAGCAAGAATGTATTTCTGTAAAAAAGGAATAATTAGAAGGAGTTCTTGGAAATTAAAAATATAGTTACTAAAAAAGAACCAGTAGAGGATTAAGGCCAGGTAATCACTTAGAAAATGTAGCATAAAGACTAAGATGAAAAATATGAAAGATAAGAAATGAGACCTAGAAGTTATCCCAAGGTTACCAATGTCATACTATTAGGAATATCTTCAGAACAGAAAGCAGACAGAATAGAAAAAAATAAATCTTTTTAAAGGAGGAAATAATTAAGAGAATAGCACAAGATAATATCCAAGAGCTGAATATCATTAGTTGACCAGAACAATGAGCAGATTCATTTCAACTTTCCATGAAAAAATTTCAAGAAATCAGACCATCATTTGAACTCCCCCCACCCAGCAGCTCTGGATTGATAGCAAACAATGGAGTATGTTTTCAAAGTTATGAGGAGAAATTGTTTTCAATCTTACATCTGATACTCAACAAAGCTGTCAATCAAGAGTTAGGGTAGAATAAACATGTTTTCAGATTTGTAAGGATCTAGCACCTTTGCTTGTTATGTATAGTTTCTTAGGCAGTTACTTGGAGAACTTGGCCCAGCTGAACAAGGGGGTAAATCAAGAGAGAAGAAGGCATGGGATTCAACTCAGAGGAATCACAAAGTGAGGTTCCAGCATCTAAGCTCAGGAGCCCATTGGGAGAGCATTTAGTCTAGAGTGGAGCTGTAAGAGGGTGAGAGCTAGAAAACTGGAAGTCTATAGATTTTCTGGATCTCTGAGATGCTGGAAGAATGAGGATTTGATAAAGGGAAACAATGCAAAGAGGCAACTCAAATTGAAGGAGGAGAAACAAACAAACAAAAGCCAAAAGGAAGTAGAAGAGGAGGAAGAGCAGAAAGACAAGAAATCAAGAAAACAAAAATTTGGAGGGCAATGAAGACTACCATTTGGCGGTTTAGCCAATAATGCTACATATGCTTAATCATGCAAATACTGTTTACTGCTTTTCAAGTTTTAGAATCAACAAATCAGCAGGAAGAAAGACATAATTATGAATGCATGCAAAAAAAGAAAGTGTTCTCAAATTTAACACTGAAAGTTACAGTGCTCTGGTAGCCCTGGAAGTTGGAAAGAAGGGTGGTAGAGAAAAGGAGAAAGAACAAGACCACTTACTAATCAACCCGATGCAGAAGGTTGGAAGCAATTATCTCATGGAACAGAAAGGCTATTCTCTCTCGAAATATCCGGATTTGCTTTAGATCCTGCGATTGTTTCAAGTGACAGCTAATGGTCAAGAGGAAAAAAATGATCGCTTAGCTGAAAAGGTTTTGAAAATATTAGCTAAAATATACTGAGGGTTTCTGATGAGAAACTCACCTTGGTAAACTTTATCCTAAAAATAGCTCTTAGAGGTGTACCTACTGATTAAAACAGAGCCCTGACTATAGTAAGTGGTTAGGGAGGTTAAGTAACTTGTTCAAGGTCACATAGTTAATATGTAAAATTGAACTTAGTTTTGTCTGGCTCAAAAAGGGTAGTAGATGGGGATTGAATTAGAGAAAACTGCATCATATGCATTTATTAATATGTAAAAATGAACCCCACTATTATGTAAAACTCTAACGCACTGAAAGTTTTTTTAATGTCTAAGATGGTACTAATAAATATATAATGTGAACCATATAAGTAATTAAAATTTCTAGTAGCTACATTACAAATGTAAAAAGAAACAAGTGGGAAAGGGAATAGGGAGAAGGAGGAGGGAAGGGAAAGGGAGAGTACTGGGGATTGAATTGGAACAAATTATATTCCATGCTTGTATAATTATGTCAAAGTGAACACTAGCATTGTGTATAACTGAAATGAACTAATAAAAAGAAACAAGTGAATATAAAAATTGTTCTACATCGGTAATCACCAAGGAAATGCAAATCAAAACCACAATGAGCTATCTTCTCACTCCAATTAGAATGGCTCTATAATCAAAAGACTAAAGATCACAAATGCTGGTGAGGATTCAGAGAAAGGGGAAGTCTCACACATTTATTTGTGAGAACATAAATTACTGCAGTTACAGAACATAGTATGGAGTTTTAAAAAAACTAGAAATAGATCTGCCACATAACCCACAAATCCCACTATTGGGTATCTACCCCAAAGAATTTAAATCAGTAAATTGAAGAGGTTGAACTCCTCTGTTTATTGTGGCACTCTTCACAACAGCCAGGCTGTGAAATCAACCATAGAAGAATGGATAAAGATAATGTGGTACAATATACATAATAGAATATTATTCAGCAATTAAAAAGAACGAAATTCTGCTATTAGTGACAACATGAATAGAACTGGAAGACATTATGTGTGGCAAAATTAAATCAAGCAGTTATGGAAGATAGTATGGAGTGTCTACAGGAGATTGGTCCCAGGTCCAAAAAGACAAATAGCACATGTTCTCACTTATTTGTGGAAGCTAGGAAGTTGATTTCAAAGAAGTGAAGAGTAGGGGCTGGGGTGTCAGGGGCCACCATGTGTTAGAATCTGTAAACAAGTCAGGATGGTGCCTGGCATTTTGCCAGAGAAATGTTAGAGTCTGTAAACAAGTTTGGATGGCGCCTGGCAAAATGCCAGAGGGAGTGGTTTGTGAAGTAATGCCAGTGAGCCATTAAGTGTGGAGATTCCTTATTGGTTGACTGCTGTATCAAGTTTATGTTAATTAGATAAGCTGTGTGGAATGTATATATACCACTCCTGTCCTACAATAAATGGCTTCCACTCCTGCTGTATTGATCTACACAAGTCGTCCCCCCGCCACCCCCCCCACCCCACCCCCGTTATTCTGCTGCAGCCGGACTGCGGCAACCATGAACAGGAGACGAGCACGTATGGTTAGCCTTGAGGGATGGAGGTGTGGAACTGGCTTCCTCTGCTTGAAAGCTGGTGGACCTCACTCCGTGGGGCAGGGGAGAGAAGCTCTGAGACTGGGCTACAACCCCGCTGAAACCCAATCCCTTGCCTCTTTTGGGTGGAACTTTCTTGAGTGTCTTCCCCTCAATAAACAGGGTTTCAGGCATGCATTTTCCCTTTCTTTCCAACGGACCCTTAAGGTGGAGAGCTGTCCCTGATTCCTGCAAGAAAAAGATATTTCTGTGTGTTGCATGCTTCCTTCACTGTTTTCTTAGTTATTGATGTAGCCAGCTCTTGTGAACCCAGCTCAGGTTGCCACCCCGGCTTGTTGAGAGCCACAGCCGAAGGGGCCCCAGCAAACTTCCAGCTGCCAGCAAACTTCCAGCTGCCGGCTGATGATTGGCTCACAGCGCCCCAGCAACATCTAGCTGATTGGCTCCTCGGCCCCAGCAACATCTAGCTGATTGGCTCCTCTGCGGTGATGCTCATTGGGCTGTTTCCCTGCCCTTTCAGACCACGGAGCTGCTCATTGGGGGACTTTTTTGGCTCCGCCCACGTGATCCAGCCAATCGGCCTCAAGAGCAGGAGGATTGTGAGAGGTGGAGAGAAGCTTGTGTGAGAGAGAGAGGCTTGTGGAAAGCCGGTGGTGGCAGTTGAGGCTCTGAGGGTTTTTCCTGAGAGGCTGTTTTGTTTGGCGTGTGTGGTTCTAAAAATAAAGTTAGTTTCTTTTGACAAGTGGCTCCTGATTGTGCCCAGCCAGACTGCGGCACGGGCTACCTGGGATAGTTTTTAGTGGTAGAGAGCTTGCCTAACATGTGCGATACCCTTGGTTCCACCCCTTGCACTAAAAAAAAAAAAGGTAGAGAGTAAAATAATGGTTACCAGGGAGTGGTAAAGGTTTAAGTCCGATAAGAGAAAAGATGGTTAACTGGTACATGGGTGCTGTTGCATCTGAGGAATAACTTTTGATGTCCTATGGCACAGATATGTAACTATGACTGACGACAATTAATTGACTATTTCAAAATAGCTAGTGGGAGGATTTTGAATGCTGACAATACAAAGAAACAACAAATGTTTGAAGTGATAGAAAATGCCAATTATCCTGATGTAATTATTATACATTACATACATGTATTAAATTGCCACACTGTACCCTACAAATCTATGTGCATATCTAGGCACAATTACTTGGTGAAAAATAAAAAAAGAAATGAAATTAATTTGAACAATATATTCGATTTAATTTTCATATCCAAAATATTATCATTTTGATAAGTAATCAACATAAAGAAATTACTAAGGAGATGATTTTTGTTCTTTCTCTCAAATCAAGTCTTTAAAAATCTAATATCTATTTTACATTTAAATTCCATCTTGATTTGCTCAACAGTCACATTTCAAGTACATATTGGCTACAAAGCACATTGGAAAGCTCAAGTTTAAGCCCTCAACTACACGTGGTGATGTCCAAGAGGCCTTAGGGAGGTGATCAAGCATTTCCTTGTAGACCTACAAACTTTGAGTTGCTCACAGGACAACAGTTGCTGATACTCAGGACACAGTTATCAGCCCACTGTATTGGAGGGGTACTGCATCTGCAGATTCAATCTCAGATCAAAACTATTTGGGGGAAAAAATCACATCTGTACTAATGAGCAACAGAGTATTTTTTTCTTGTCATTATTCCCTGAACAATATAGTATAATAGCTATTTATACAACAATTACATTGTATCAGACATTATAAATAATCTAGAGATGATTTAAAGCATATGGGGAGGATATGTATAGGTTATATTAAATGCTACACCATTTTATATAAGGAACTT